GACACGTTCTCCACCTGTTTGTTCAGGCTCTCTTGTGCACCAATCCTGCCATCCTGGGCATTTGTTCACTAGCAGATCCAGCTCCTCCAAGAAAGCATTCTGCAGGTCTCCTGGAGGAGCTACAGAGGGGGAAAAGCCTAATCTCACTGTGCTTTCTTTTTTTTTTTTTCCTGTATGCACAACATAGACAGAATTGAGATGAGATGAAATGAAATAAAAGCTGGCTTTAACTGTGGAAAGAAAAACAGATTGATTGCTACATATACTTACCTGACCATTATTCAACTTCAAGCAAATGCACAGAAATGCTAAGACTTTGGTGTGTTCATAAGAGAGTCAGGGCTGGATGTGGAGTCCAGGAAAATGCTACTGTGTCTGCTGCAAGTTCTGCTCCTTTTTTAAGAAGTAGGTTGAGCTGCAAGGATTTCAGTTGGAAAAAAAAAATAGTAATGCATTTCACATAAAACAATTGATCATCACTCAGCTGGAGAAAGTCTTGCTGCAAAGGTTTATTATGAAATAAATAAAAAGTCCATGAGAAGTTTGAAAAATCTATTTTATGAAGCTTTAAGATGCACTGAGTAGAATTATCTATGGTTACATTTAAATCTCAAAATAACAAAGTTATTTTGGGCAAGACACTGAAATGCCAAAAGACTTGATTATCATACAGGTGGAAGATAACATATGTAGCATTTTTCTAACAAACTGTCCCATCAAAGGAATCATATTTACACATTGCAAACATTAGCTAGATTTAAATGACTTCTTGCATTTCGTTTTGTGTTTTGTACACAAACCTAGGAACCCAGGAATATTATTCAACTGATACCAATGCCATGGCCTTCACAGTGGTTATAGGAAGTGTATCTGCTTTGGGGCCCAGGTTCTCCGGTGCTTGAGAAGCACCAGTGGCAGGGCCCCAGCACCCTGCCCACGAAGCCTGCATGCACTGCCAGCACAGCCAGGCCAGCCTCAGTCACTGCACAGCCAAGATGCTGCTTGTTTCAGTTAATTGCTTCTCTGCATCAGTAAGTCCAGTATCCCTGAGATAGGAACCACTGCAGGTGGAGGGGCAGGCTCTCCAAACGGTACGTACGTGATAACTGATGACTCTCTTGGTACCAGAAGTAAACTCAGCTAAACCAAGGCCTGAATGGTTTCTGGTTTCATATCCACTTAATGTTTACTGGCAGCAAGTCGTTTCAGTAGCGGCTCATCATACACCCAGCATTCTCCATCTTCATGGAATAACTGCAACAAAGGGAAGCATCGGATGTCAGCTTTTTATGACTCAGCTGGAAAGCAACAACTGCTGCAGATTAGAGGGCATTTGCACTGTTCCAGTCCAGCTCACCCTTGTTTCCCATGAGGTCTCGTTCTCCTTTCTGGCTCTGGCTTCAGCCCTTTGTCTCTCCTCCAGCGCGTGTTTCGCAGCCGTGGCTGCCTCGATGTCTCTGATTTTTAAGTTGTAGGTCACATCTTTCCATAAGCTTAGAAAAGAAATTGAATGGAGACTGCTTTAGAGAAGCAAAGTGCTACAAGGTTTTAGAAACATATTACTGACTATTAGTCATCAATTAATTGGTGTGAATTAAGGTAGGTCAAAAAGGCAGAAAAACCCCAATATACATTAAACCACAGCTGCACCGTCTGCTGCTGGGAGTAGGAAGATGTGATGGACTCCTCTGGACTTCCCTCAACATTTAGTCTTGATGAGGATGTGACCAAGGACTACAGGTTCTGCAGCACAGGCTAATGAGAACAGTTCCTCCATGCAGTGAATGGCTAAATATACCATTAGTCAGACTGTGCTGCAAACCTGGGTCTAACAACAACAACAAAAGGTTTTAAATAGCCCATTTAACGAAAGTTCTTACCTGCGAGACTCAAAGTCTTCTTGGTCCTCCAATTTCCTTACCTTCTTCTTAATTATAGGCATTTTCTTGGTATCTATAAAGACAGCATTCTCCTAGAAAGAGAGATGAAATAAGTAAAAACAATTCTTTACCTTAAAAGACTTAATATACCTTCACATTCTACTACACTGTTTGTTAGAAAATACATGAAAAAACATTCTTTAGATTTGGTTCTTGTGATAGAAATCACATTATCTTAAAGAAAAAATTAACAAATTCAGGACTTTTATCCCAAGTTCTGTGCTTTTGTGATCTGGGCAACTTCATACAAGTTCCCAGTTATTAATGTTTGTTTTGTTTGTTACCGTTTTTGTTTTGTTCTTATAACCAACCAAAAACCCCAAAGAGAAAAGCTGCTTTACCCCTGTTGTGTATTTTGCATACATGACACCATTCCATTCTCCTTCAATTGAGCAAAAAGGCTTCTTGTCGTTGGGAGAACTAAACAGAAAGAAACAGACACTTCTATGTTGTATTATGGTAACTGAAAGGCCCTAAAGGATCAAAACTTCACCCTAGTTGCTGTACAGTGGTTTTTATGTCAGCTCTGAAAACAATCACCAACACAAAAAAGTTCTGTTACATGTGAGAAGGATAAACCTTACAAAGAAGGTTCCATGATAAGCCAGGTCTTGCCTTAGGACTATATCTGCATTTAGAGTTTAGGAAACTACTTACAGGCTTTCAAAACAGATTTAAGAGTGGTTAAGTTTAAGCTTAAAAAGATTTAACAAACTCAAAGCTTCTTTCCCAGACTACTGGGAAACAAACTAATTCACAAGTAAGGTCTATCAGTAGGTGTCAAGATGTGATTTAAAACCAAGTTATGGATCCTTCTTTTGTCAGTTATCACTTCCTGACATTACAGCAGATCTCCAAACAAGATCAGAATCTCCACAGAATTCTCTGCTCTGGGCATGTGCACAGGGTCTAACCAAAATCCACCAAATCACTGGTATAAATACATCTGTCAAAGTGCAGCAGGGCTTTAATGACATGGTATAAAGAGCAGCAATACAAGGCTTGCTTCTGTATTTTTAGGAAAAACAATTAAGAAATTTTGGATGATTCAGGAGTGAAAATTGAAATTCCTTTTGGCCAACATCTGGGCATGTTTTAGAGCAGTCCTATGCTGGTTCCCTCTCACAAATCCTGGCTATCAAATGGCATCCTGTGACAGGTAATCATAAGCTGAGTTATCGGGTGTAGCTGCTCCAGTATTTTACACTCATGATTGTGTTGAAAAAACACTGTCAGCATTTCAGGAGAGAAAGAGAGATTAACTGAAGAAACCTGCTTACAAGATTTCAGCTGTAACTCTGTGCTTCTTTCCTCCATAAAATGGTTTTGTGTGGAAGACAATGGAAGCATTATAGCCCGTCTTGGAGCAATTTATACTGCATTCTCCACCCAGTTCTATCCATGGCACAGTGAGAATAGACCTGCAATTATGAATACATGTGTAGATTTATAACCTTTTAACCTTTAATATTAAGCATTAAATATTACAAGGCATTAAAACAAAAAATGCCAAACAGAGCATTTACTTGCCTTCCATAACCATTAGGAAAGGTCAAGATGTAGTGTTCATCCTGATCTAGGCATGAGACACACCCTATCAAAGAAAAACAGATTGAAAAGACATCCAGCAAAACCTCTACAAGACTTTCACTACAAACAAACACTATAAAAAGGACAGGTGAAAAGCTGTATTTAGTTGCTGAGTACATTCAGCTTCTAGAGAAGGCAGGGAGAGTTGTATTTATGTGAACAACTGGGCCCTAAATTATTTCAGCACATGAAGTATGCAGAAGGAATCACCACCTCCTAGATACATAAGCTCAAATTACATAAATTCAAACATTCCTTATGTTGAATAGGGTGACTTTAAATATTTTCTACCAAAAAAGCAAGTTGCAGAATGTAAATCTATCTTGTCCTGTTAAGTTCATACAACACATACCTTGCCCTATGTTGTGAACCCCAATAGACATTCCTAAGAATTTGGACTTGGTCCATATGTGAGCGTTGAACTGTATCCTCTTGCTAAAACACTCGGCATAAAATGCTGAAACTGAGGAAAAAGGTGTTAGAAAGAGCAGCACGAGACACTTAGACTATTGTTTCCCAATTCCTTCATCAGGAAATACCTCAAAGTGCCTCCTGCTCATGTGGCAACAGAGTTTGCAATTTGTTTCTCACAAAAACAGTTTCTAGAGATAAACCTTCAGCTTTCAAGTTTGGAGAGAAGTACTAAATCCAAGATGTAAACCAAGAGCTGGCTTTACTGTCACTCCTTTCCAGGTGCCACCTCTATAAGCCAAGTTATTGTCAACTTACTTGGAGGATGATGGGAGACCTGCTCTGCCACGAACGTTACATTGCTTTTGCTGACCCAAGGAACTGGTCCTTCTGAAACTGTCTCCTGTGTGACAAGAGAAAGGGTTCCCATCACTTACAGTGTTTGGAAAACACTGGGTGCTTCCAAGAGAAGGTGCTTCCATGTGTAAAAGCTTCTAAAAATGTATTGCAGCCATTTAAACATAACTGTCAGTTTGATAATTTCATGGGGAAAGCCCCCTATTCCTGCTTTCTAAAGAACATGCAGCTTTTGCTCTTCTAAGTATGAATGTATCTGGGGAGATACCCCCAAATGCAACAGTTAAACTGTCATGTATAAACCCAATTCCAAAGTAATACTTAAATTCACTTAATTTCTTATTAACTAATTAAGAAATAGCTGACAGAGTTTTCATTGCATTTGAGAAAGTCTGATGTGCATATTAGCAGTGACAAGATTTTATATTTATATATAGGTTTTATATTTTTATATATATATATCACAAAAACATGAATCATTCAGTTCCTGTGGCAAATCATGAAAAAGGTCATTCATGATTAGAAGCAATATGGAAGCACACATACAATATTGTCTTTAGCCCAGCAAATATGGGAGTCCATTCACCTCAGAAACAAAGAGAAATATTTCAGCAAACAAATGAGGGAGGGAGGAGATGCAAATTAAATGGGAAAAATTCCTGATTGACATCTAAATGATCACGTTTAGATACACTAGACTGAGGCTACAGCAAGTATCTCACAACAGCACTTCCCACATCATCATTTGCAGCTTGACAATGTGAGAAGCCTAAATGAGGTATTAAAGAAAAAGACAATTCCAAAAAGAACCCCACCAGGCTGTACTGCAAGTGCTAGAGCTTTCCTCTAAAACCAGGGGGGCACTGCGTCAACTGTGGGTCACAGTGGGTCACATAAGTCTGGTTAATCCTCAGTCTCACTGAAATTTGGGCGAACAGGAGAAAGCTCCTACACTGGTCAATGATTTCAGATCACAAGAGTCGCACTGCTGTTACTGTGTCCTTCGCTTCATCAGACATACTCCAGTGAAGGACAAAAGGAAGAGTAGTGGCCAGACCCAGATGTACAACTAAAATATTATCCAAGCTCAGAATCCAAATTTGAGAAGTCTACAAAAAGATTTTAGAAGAATATAATGGAGAAACTGCACTGCTTTCTATGCTGTGAGGGAAAGAAACTTCACTTAAAAATACAAGGGTTTAGAGAAATTAGTATTAAAAATAAATCAGAACTTTGGAAGAAAGGAATTCACACTCAGTGCTACAAAACCACTCAGGAGAAAGAACATGTCAAATAGTTCTTCAAAAACCCAACAGATCCATTTTTGTTTAGGCAAGATATTTTAAAGAAAAAGGGTAGAAGGGGATCAGTTAAGAAATGGCCTTAGTTTGTTAATTTCACTATTTAAAGATAGTGTAAGTCAATTCAGTCAGTAATTTAATAAAGCTTTGGGAATAACTTGTGTGCATTCTAGGCACCAAAAAAATCCCACCACAAGAAACTGACCGTATCGTCTTCACCTTCAGTGCCTGGCAACACCCAGTGGCATCGGAAGATCTCACCCAGAATGGGATTGTAAGGCTTTTTAGCAACTGACCCTTTTCTTCCTGCATGAAAAGCTGAGAGGTACCACTTAACCACCTGAACCATTCGTTCTTTTGGATCCTTCTGGTCACTAATGCTACATGGGCCAAAAGAGAGAGAAAGACAGACACAATTAAATACAAGCAGGTATTGCAAATACAGGAAAGCTTTCTGAATGTTTGGCTGTTTTACAACTGGAAGTCCAACTACTTTGACTATTTTTCAAGTTTAGATCAAACCCCAAGTAATATTCTTCAAAAACTACCAACTTACATGTGACAGCCCATATGGACCACAAACAATATCAGAACCATTAATTTTCTATTTGAAAAACTAAGTACCTGACAAATAAGTCCGGATGTGCAAAAAAGTCAGCATACATTTCCAACAGGGATCTTCTTTCAAGGATAAAAGTTGGAAGAACCACCTGGGTGAAGCAAAACAACTCTTACAAATCAAGATACTTTACCATCCTGCACAAAAGCACCCTACAAACTAACTGAAAACCACAAGCAAAGCACAGAAGGCTCCATCTGTCTAAGCTGGTGGTGTTCTTGCCAATGAGTCCTGACATGTGAAAGCCAGTTGCCATCTTCTAAAAGCCAAAGGTGTAAGGTGAGCTGGCTCTTGTCTGGTGTATATTCTAGTCCTGCTTAGAGCATATCCAACTACACAGCTGAGCTTACCAGAACCTGTTCTTAATTACAGTAACACTAGCAATTTTCACTTAATAGTCAGAAATCTCCTTCCATGTAGTTACATCCTCTGATGTTCCTCTTTTTGAAGGTTAATCTTTTCCCTATTACTTTTCTTCCCCAACAGCATTTGCAGGTGCCCTTCTGGTGGATCCTGCCTGCTTCAGTGTGGTGCAGACCACTGTTGAAAGCAGTGTTGATGGCTGTTGTTGACTTCAAAGTGATCCAGACAAGATGCATGCTCATGATGCTTACTGGCAGCTGAACTTGAGATCAAGTATTCCAGGAGTTCCCCAAACCCATTTTGCATCAATTCCTACTCAGAACTGCCAGGAGCTTTCCATAGTCTACTCATGAGCTGCAGGGCATTTCCCCAGAAAAGTTTTAGGTTTATCTTTCTATTATCTCTCATGAGTTCCAGACTGGACAGTTGAAGTCATCCACTTAAAGAAACTAATAATAGGATTAATCTCTCCTGTTCTTTCTCAATCTGGAATTACTTGTTTAAATTTAACCAAGCTGCCTAGAAAGATCATTGCCTTCAGAATGCTGTTCATTCAACCTTAAGACAGACTCCAACATGAATCATAATCAGAAAAAACTCTGTACTTGGCAGTCCTACACAGAGCATTTTAAAGGAAGTTACTCAAGAAGATCCCGATTAAGCCAAGTATTTCACAGTGTGCTTAATTCCCCCATTTATTTTATCCATCTCTTACTGAATGTCACCATACACTAGGATCTTGTAAAGCTTTGTTGTAGGAAGCTAAAGAACATTACTACTACATAGAGAAATATTCCCGCAGCATTCCTCTTATTCCAGCTGTACAGACACTCTAGACACTCTGAGGATCAGGTTCAAATAGGACAGCTACTTTCCATAGCAAACTCTTTGCCCAAACAGATTTTAGCAGTTAGATATATTTATTCTGCTTTCATTTTTCCCCTCCCAGTAAGAACTCCAATTAAAAAACCACCACGTTAGAGAGGTTATAGCTTAACTAGCTCTTGGAACAAACAGAGTTGAACTACTAGTTTAACAGTGAACTGATTTGCACAGAATTCAGGCTTTACTCCTCCCCTCCCTCCCCCAAGAAAACTCATTAAGTTTACCTTTGTTAGATCCATTCCTAATCTAACTTGTGACAACAGATGCATAATAACACTCTTATGTTCTTCCACTGATTCTCCTTCCCCATCATCCTCTCGATCATCAGGGGGATCAAACAGATCTAGAAAGACCAAATTGCTTTTATTTTTCTCTAAACCTTCAAAGACAGACTGCATTTAATTAGCATGTATATTAGCTGTCAAAAAGGTCTTATTTGTAACAGTTTTTAAATTCTACAGTGCAACAATGCTCCATGACTAAAGAAAAATAAACCATTTTCCCTAAGTACCTCATCACGTATAAACAGCCAAAGATGGAGTGACACAGTTTACACACAGATCAACAATCAAGTTCACAGAGTCCTCTTACCAGCATCATTTGTGCCATTAGACAGGGAAGAATTGAGGGACTCTGTGGTATCTGGACGTTTCAGACTGCTCCCTGTACTGCTCCGAGTCAGGACTGCAGCAGACTCTGAGGAACTAAAGGAGAGTAATAAATTCCCACAATTCACAATGAACAAATTATTATAATTTGATATACATAGACATCAATTCCCTGGAGAGTTTACTGACAGATATTAATGCATGAGCTGCATATGACTGCACAGAGAACTCAGACTGTAGCTCAACAAATGGGAAGGCCTGCAGTCTGAGAGAACACCTGAAGACATCAAAACAGATGAATAATTAATTCTGCTTTGAGCTAGTGTGTGACAGATTTTAAACTTAATTTCCTGATTCATAACATAGATTAAACAGACATTCTGTGGAAAGGCAGTCAACTGAAAAAAAAATATTAAAAATTTTAGTAAATATGAAAGGGAGTGGGCCATGTACCAAAAACTGCAAAAAATGCCTGTGAAATACACCATGGTCTCAGATTTAAATGTGCTGGGAGCTTCCCAAGTTTGGTTTTGTCAACACATCTACCTGATGGAATGGGAAGAAGAGGAAGAAACAGCATCCCTCACAGACAACTGCACTGGGGGAAGGGGTAATCTCATTCTGTTACACTGAGTGGCTTTCTTGCCTCCCCCTGTTTTGTTTTTTCTTTAAAGCAAACGTAGCTTATTCCCTCATTTAGCTTAAATATCTTCCCAGCAAACAACCCATGCCCTTGTAGACAAAAACTGTACTCAGCACACACTGCAAACTTGCAGTTACTTACTCCATACACCGCTTTGGGGAAGAGCTGCTCTGGTAGAATTCATCAGCATCATAGAATTCATCCTCACTGCTTGAATAAGAAAAATCTGGGACTGTGTTTGGAGACAGGTTGACATGGCTTGGAGAGGTGAGACTACTGCTAGGTGCTGACTGCCCACTTCCTGTAGATAGTAAAAATTACAGATGTAATAAAAAAAGGCAACAAATAATTTTAAATCCACCACTTCTAACTTTTGAGTAACATTGTTCAAACCAGTGCAGACCAATACAAAGGTATGACAACATACAAAATCAGAAATTATTGATTAAACATTGATTAAAAGCAACATGCACAAGACAATACAATGTTATCTTAATAGTTAATTACTTCAGGTTACAGACTATATATATTATGGGTTTGTTCTTGTACTTCAATGAGACTGTTACACACAACTGTACCTGTACTATTTGGTGTTGGAGTTTGATTTCCAAGTGAAGCTACTACAGGTCCCACTGGCAAAGATGAGGGTCTTTGCTCTGACTTGCACAACTGAGCAGGTTCTAAGAGATATTTTGATATGTTAAAACCCAAAAGTCACATTTAAATATGAGAATTATACTTTTGTTGGGAAGGGGATTCCACATTATTTCACCTCACCTTCAAAAACGAAATTCTTTTCTATCAAAGCCATTCAGACAGAAAAACATGTTTCCATCATCATTATTCCAGCTCTTTGTTATTATTAAGCAAAGATGGCATTTAAAATAATTGCACAGATTTAGCTAGAAAGCACTAACTTTTCTGAAAAACCACAGTTTCATCTATTTTAAGAAAGTATATTAGAAATGTAAGCTAGTATAAAATGTATCAGCTTATCCACTGAACTAGAGGCAGATTTACCTGATGGCTGAGGAAGCTCCTGCTCCTCTCCCTTCCTTTGCACCCCTGTGGTGAACGTGCACCTCTAAGTGCAACATGCAGCTGTGCTGCCTGTGACACAGCAGATCCCCACCTTTAGGCAGCCCCTCCATCTAGACTGCAGCTCCATCCTGCTCTGCTCATTAATGTTTGTCCTGAGGTTCGTTTTCTGCACACCATACCTGGAGGTAGAACCGCTTGGGAAGGCATCGTGCTGATCCCTGACTGCTCCAAAGGGCTGGGCTGGTACACTGCGTCAACTGGGTTGATAGTGCTCTGAGACAGAAGAAAGAAAAGCACATTTTTTTCTTAATTAAAAATTAAAAATAAACAAAGCATTGGTATCAAGAACATGGCAAGCACAAGAAATGCCCAAACGCAAGACAGTAAATTCCTGAGAGAGAAAGTAAAACACAAATTGACAGTTGAGGACATGAGGAATACTTTCAAAGCAGTCACACTTTAATTCTTTACATAGATTTTCCACTACACTGAATTTGCTCCAGATTTGAATTGCCCTGTGAAGAACTCTAATTTCAAGTTCTAGCTTCTGGTATTCCTTCCAATGTCCATTACTAGATAGTGCATGCAAAGAGTGGAAAGTTAGATGAAAATTATCTGACAAAAATCAGGATAGATAAGCTGTATTCTTTCAATCATTTTCATTTCTAATTTTCTTTTTCCCAGGCCAAGGCCATAGTAAATCAACCCATAAATTAGAACAAGAATCATCAAGCATGCTTACAGCCATGAAGTGATTTTGTAGCCAAAACTCTTTGCAATGCAAGCTGACAGTTTTCAGGGTATACCCAGTAGAGGACATTTCAATTTACTTATGAATGTAGGCACTTTGAAAACAAAGCACCAATTCAACTTGACACTCACAAAAGTCACTGACTTCAGGATATGTTCTTGGCTTTTCTACAACAAGCCTCTTGGAAATCTAAAGTGCAATGTTTTTTAAACCAAACTAGCATGATTTTGCCTTGCTTCACTGGCCTGTAATTTTGTTATCATCTAAGCACTGCTTGTTATACACATTTACATTCAACAACCAGTAGTTCTATGTTATTCTGGGTTGTTGGGATCAACTTTTTTGGAAAAAAGGCACATGAAACATGTTGCAATTTAAAACCATTTATCTATGTCAGAACTGTGAAAGTCTTTGCCTCAATTTGCTAGGAAATTAAGCTATCGTGCTTCTGTTGAAGAATATCAAGCACAGGAAGGTCATACAGGACAAAGCTCTACATTTAAAAAAAACACCTGTTTTTAAAAAAGCTAGATAAGCTTTAAATTAAACAGTATGTGTATTCCTGTCCCCTTTTTAGATCAGTATTTAAAATATTAGAAAAAGAGGAGAGTATCCAACTGCTCTTCCATTGCTTTAGTCCATTATTTTCTATTTGCATGCAGACAGAGGGAAACAGGGTCATTTTAACTTTCTTCCTCACATTATCCTACTAAAGGAAGACTTCTTCCTTCATTCCTTCCTTTCCTGGTTAACTGTTACTCTGAACTTTATCCTACATTTTAAGTTAGTGAAGATTTTTTTTAATAGTGCACAATTGATTTAATTGAAAACAAAGTTATTGCTCCCTGGTTGGTTTTTTAACTAGTTTTTTTAAAAAGACATAAAATTTGCTTTCTAAATTTTTTACATTTTACATGTTTGTTGGTGTTACTAAGTAGCATACAAAGAAATAATCCAGCACATATACTATTAATCCACTGTATTCCAGCATAAATCCATGTCCCTTACACATCAATTCAACTGCTCTGTGCTACTGCTCATGCAACACAAGTAGGTCCCTGCCCCAAATATTTCACAGTTTAAAATCAGGATCTCATTTGCAGAGTTACGTAACTTAAAAATCCTATGATACACAGGATGATATTGCTATTTCTACCTCTCTTATTTTTGAGGGAAACTAATAATATATATGATACACTACACTGGTGTGATAAAGGAAAAAAAAAACCAACCCCAAGTAACTTTGACTTTGTATGCAGGATTGTAACCTTATCCTTAAACAATTCTCCACACAGCAAAGTGAAGTTTCTTTTTAGATATTTTGGGATATGCCTTTGTGGTTTAGAAACAGATGAAGGCAGACCTGAAATTCCCTACTCTGGGTTTAATAACAACTTTGAAACAACCATGCAGAAACAAGGTTCTCATCCCACCACAATATCAAACACTGATTATATTCTGGCCCAAGTCTATATCCTGACCTTTAGCCCAAGCTAACACTGACCTCAAGAGCATCAAAGTTTCACAATCACTGATCAGTTTATATATTCTTACAGAAATAGTTTGGTTTTCCCCCTCTCCCCCGTGCTATAAGCCAGCACACAGATAAGTAGAATAGTGGCTAATCAAATTCAGACCATAGTAAATTATAACAGCTTTATGAAATTTCTGAGTTGCAGATCTAATTTTCAAATCACCTCTGCCCATGGTTTTGCATAGCTACTGTGGCTGCATAACCACTCTTTTTAGGGCACACAACATAATCTGTCCCATAACACTAAGACCTGAACTATGTGACTCTCCACAGGGTAATTGTTCCTCTTACAAGAAGCATGAAACCAAGATCTGTCTGTGCATCTGTACTCCCAAGTTCTTACCAGAAAATCATATTGTTCAAGTTGTATATAATGGAAATGAGAGTTATGTTTTACTGAAACCAATCTCCTGTCAAAAGTATCTGAAATGCACTCAAGTGACAAAAAGAGAATGAGGAAAGAGAAGTCATGTGGGACTGAAAACAAAGATGACAGAAATTATATTTTAAAAATGAGTAAGTTATATTAAAGAAGAAACATTGCTTAAACAGACATTAAACAACTTAGGGTCAAACGAGCAGCACTGTAGAGAAGACACTATTTGAAGCACACAGATAGCTGATTAATTTCATACATAAAGATACTTCAGAGGGAACAAAAAACTATTTCCCTTTCATCTGTTCACATGGCAGATTTTTATCTAAGTGTTCAGTCACAACACTGCCATTTAAGACTACTCAGTAGAAAGCTGATCACTATTTTCTAAAGGCAAGGGTGTTAGACAACCTCAGAAGCTAATGACTCAACAGTAATTTTAACAAGACATTTGAAGCAGTAAATTAGAGAAAGGAAGAAGTATGTTGCAAAATGAGTGGAAATTCAGGTCTCTGTTCACATGTTCTGCAGAAATAAAGGGAGATAAAGATTAGATTTAAACTTACTATAAGTCCATCTGCGTGCTTCTCCTCATTATTTTGATCCTTAAGGAAAAAATGTTAAAAATATCAACATAACAATCTTGTATGGTTTATCAGTTCTGTGTTGAGAACAGCAAGTTTCTCTAGGAATGTTTAAGTTTTCAGCCATAAAATGCTCCTCATCATGTGACAGAGTAACTAAACTTAGAAGAAACAATTCTATACATAGTCACTGCACCTCTGAAGATTAGAGTTTTCCAAGGATCTTTCCACACAAGTTTGAAAAATTTAAAAAATACCCTTTCTCCACTGCAGAATACAAGTATGCTTGACAACACAGGTTCTTCCCAAATGGCTAAGAGCCCCCAAAACATGGTCTGCAGCACCAGTGAGCCCATGAGAACCAGAAGTTCCCAGTTCCTGAAGAACTGCAATTTGCACACAGGTCAAGTTTTCAAAAGCACTTCTTGCTTCTGAAAGGCAGAAGTGCCCTTACAAGTTAAATGTTTTTAACCTTTGCTTTTTGGTTTTCACTAGATTTTAGAATGGTTTTACATTATTTACCATCCAGAATTTGGGCAGAGGTCTTTTGCCTAGAAATGTATGTGAAAGAGCAGGCAGTGAATGGAATAAAACTGTCATCAGGGGAAAATACACTAGCAAGAGAAAACTTAATGTCAATCTACAGTTAGCACAGCTTTAATGCTGTACCAGCAGCTGTACACATTTCACTGAACACTAAGCCAAATCCCCTCACTCCTGCTGCCAAGTTCATATTACCAGTATATCAATCCATAACTTTCTGCAGTGTAAGACTTCAGACTTGCCTGCCGAGTATTTCCCCAGATTTCCAGTTGTTACAGTTAAGAGGAACAAGAGAAAAAACAAAACAAAACACCTGTAAACAGTATTAAGAAAGCTGGCACATACTTATGCTTTGACACTTTACACATTCTTCTTAGCTTATTTGGTTGGCAATCATCTGCTCAAATCTACTGTCTCCTAGTTGACACTTCTCAAGCAAGGCTTTCCATGACAGAAGTGACAATAATGGCAATGAGTTCCATTGGCTTGCAAACTTAAAAATGAAGAAGAAAGAGTAACACTGGACTTTTTAAAATTTTTTTTTAAACAAGGTTTCCATGTTATGCTACCATCTCTAAGACCTGAGAAACAGAAGGCAAAGATGCTGCATCTGTACTGGTGTTTGCTATCTTATCTCTGCATTGCACAATCAGCAACATGGTGTGTTGATGAGGTAAGGCAGGCAGAAGTGCCACAAAACCACGCAGGCAAGACTGACCAGAAATGATGGAGTGAAGAAGGGAAGGCAAAGATGCAACAATATTCAATATCTAAGTGTTAAAAGCTACAAAACATGCAATACAGATTTGTAACACTTCAATTTAGCAACCCACTGATAAACCATTGCGTATATTTTACAACACACACATCAGCAAAACTGGACATCTTCAACTGTCACACACACAAAGGGGCCAAGATGAGCCAAATGCTCCTCTGACCCATCCCACATAGTCTATTTTGATAACTGTTGTATGTCTTATACTCCTATTTAGCTGGTATTTACTTCATTATTTTGAAAATGCCTTGGATACAAGTAGTATGATTACACACTTGATTTACCAGTAAGTTCAATGACAATTTAGCCAAGTCCTAAGGCAGATTGTTTTAAGAGTCCACAACACAGCTCAACTTAACAAACAATTAAAAAACACAAAACTCTAAACCAACCAAAAAGACAAGGTTTGCCCCCAATGTAGCAAAATCATCCTAACAATAAAAGGCTGTGTGTTTGAAGCAGAAAGATTTTCTGAGTATACAGAGAAGTTGTTATAATTTTCTAGGTATGCAAACAACCAGAAGGTAATTGTGAAGTCTGTCTCCTAATGAGCAAGGTACTGTAGAGTAAAAATGAGGGGCAGGGGTGGTGTTATGTATGATTTATTTCCAAACCTCCCCCCACCCAAAGCACCCAATGGATAAACCCACCTATTTACACTGGTTAATATTTACTAGTACTGAAAGGAGGACTTCAAGGTGTGATTGAGTGTAACAGAAAGCAAGTCAGCATCTTTGGGAGACCCATACTCAACCTATCTTTACACTTATATGGTACTTGGAGCAGTAAAGCACTGAACCTGATAAAAAATGACAGCAACTGCCACTACAAGTTGAGTTTTGTCCAATGTAAGCAAACCACCTAACCAACTACAAAATAGGCCTAGTGTCAGCACAAGATAAGCAGTCGTATCTGTCTATCCCCCAATTAACCTACCCAATAGCAGAAATGGAATTTGATATTCAACAGAAACAAGAAAGCTAACTCAGCCACCTACTACCAGCTTTCATCAAGTATCTGAAAAGCAGATTATAGTTCTGCTCTTTCAGATTTGCTAACCACACAGCAGAGCTTTTTAAAAAGAGCAAATTTCACAGGACTTAAACCTCTGTGAAAATAACAACTATTAAATCCATTTAATAGTAATTAACAAAAAATGAGCAGGTAATTTGTTGCACACAGTTTCTCCAATACCTACCTTAATACAGCAAGTCAGATATAGCTGGGTAAGAAATTGAGCATACTGCCATCTGATCTATCTATAATTGACTCCTCCAAATCCCCAGAGAATGACACAGAGTCTGCTGGTTTCACTGTACTAGAGCAAATCTAAGCATACCTAGTACTATATAACAGCAAATTATTAGGTACTTGACAAGATTTTCTTGCTATCATTACAGTGGAGGATTCTAATATCACTGCATGTTAAATAAAGACTGTTCTAGCTTGTTACTACTTGCAAAATACTTTTGCTTTTGTATAGACTTGTGAACTAACAAACCATTTCTTCAGAATTTTTAAGCTTCTGATACAAAATTTGAATTGCACAAACTATGTGCTGATCCTTTTAGTGAATGACTTCTGATCCTGTAAAATTCTAAATACTTCCATTTTCTCTGGCCTCAAAATTTTGTACAACGTATCTGGTATCTAGAATGAAGACAAGCAACAGTATTACAATTGAAAGTTTAAACAAAAAAAAAGCTGATCTAGACTAAAGAAATAATTGAAGAGCCTACACCAATTTCAGAGTAAACCAGAACATGTTTTGATTAAATTCAGCTTTAAATTCTGAAAATATCATTAAACAATTTCTTTGGAAAACACTGTCTTCCTGCACTTTGGTCACAAGATATAAATCAGCAGCTCATAATTAACATATCCCAAAGACAGTATATGAAGGCTCACAAGAGTAGGACTTGACTAAAAAAATAATCCTAATCTCACTAAACTAAATCAACTAATACAATTTGTACTTGAAGAAAATCCAACATAATGACCTTCAGGTCTATTAAAAACCTTGCCAATCTAGTTTAGGTTAACATCACAGTTTTCCCTTTTTTCTATTTCTCTAAGTTACGTCCTTAAATGAAACAAAAATAAGAGTTTTGTTAAGTTTCTATTCTGTCACCCTTATGTTTGTTGAAATTTTTATTTTTTCTAACAGCAAACTCTGTGGAAAGAAGTTTTTCTCAAAATAAAAGCTTTCTCATCAACACAACTGTTACCACAAATAGTAACAGACCTCTCTGCAATGGAACTCAGTATTTCAGAAACTTCATTGAAACAGCATAAATCAACTTATACCAATTTTTTCACGTATATATACTAGATCATACAGAAGGCACTTTCAGAGTTCAATAGTTTTCACACAGATTAATGCTGTATAATTAAAATTCAAAATACTTTATAGTGTACTTACTTTAGCAATCTGTAGCAACACAATGCAGTGTTTTATTGATTCTACCATGCTCTAGGAAAACAAAAATAACAAAATAACACCTTGTATTACCATCCCAGAATTTTTTGCATTTAGATACTTTTATTAGTTATAAAGAACATTAACTGAAACATTGGGCAAGAACTAAATGGATACACTTCTGCAGAACCCCTACATTCTCTCTCCCTTTTATTATCCAGAGACAAAAGCACAGCAATACAAACTGAAGTTTCCAAAAGCCACATACAACACAGGTTGTCACAGTGAAACTGAGGTCAGCTCCAAACTTTCAGTGCACTTCATATGAAGAGAGACAGAGAGCTGGGCTTGTCTAATCTGGAGGGGAAAAGGCTCAGGAGAGACCTTATCAATGGGCATCAGTATCTGGTTGGCATGGCAGGGCATAAGGGAAGACAGAGATAGACTCATCTCAGTGGTGCCCAGCAACAGGACAACAGGCAATGGCCACAAATCAAAACACAGGAAATTCACCTTACACATAAGAAAGCACTTTTGCACCCTAGGAATGATCAAACACACACATTGCCCAAAAAAGTGCAGAGCCTCCATTCTTGGAGTTACTCAAAACACAACTAGATTTAGTCCTGAGCAACCTCCTCTAGCTGACCATGTTCTGAGCATGAGATTGGACTACCCACCTTCAGAGGCCCCTTCCAACTCCAACCATTCTGTGATTTTATGATTCTAAGGTGCTAAACATAAATCTGAATACAGCACCAGAACCAGGCTGCCTCTGCCATCCCACTTTTCTGTTAAAAGCTTTGAAAATTTTCTCAAGAAAATAAGGTGAATCTCAGAATTTACATGTAATAGATATAAAAATTAAATAAACTTACACTGGTTGTTTCTTTGAGACTTTCAATTTTCTGTAAAAGAAAAATCAAAACAATGTGGTTAAAGAGGCTGTTCAGCATCGAGTTTGACCTAAATACTATACAAACACTATATTTTAATCTTAAATCAGGGGAGGTAAAAAGCAACCAACATCTCAAAGACTATTTCTGAATATAGACACTATTTTCATGTTGTAATTGACAAGACAGAAGCCAAACTGATTATTAAGGTTTAAAGATGACAAGTTTAAGAATTTCTGAGCAGTGAGATATACATGTACCCATGAAAGTCTACACTTCAGTTTCGTGTAACATCAACAAAAATTAAACACAGTATGAAGATTCACTCTAAAAGTAATTTGTATTTGTATACAGTATGAATGGTGGCACATTTCAATGATCTGTGTTACTTGACATTACCATCGTTCAAGTGTAATAAACATCCAGTTAAGCACAGTTTAAAAAAAGTCATTAAAAACAACAGTGCACACATTCTTGAGCTTTCCAAACCTTCAGTAAAAGTGCATTTGGAAATCTGCCTACTTAATTTTATCTAGAGACGTTGGTTCATAAAGCTTTCCTGTGTGGAACTGCACTCCAGGCATGCAAAAGGCATCTGCATGCTATTTTACACAAAAGCACGACCTATCTAGGAAGCATATGCATCCTGTTGATGTCACAGAATCAAAGAATGGTTTGAGTTGGAAGGGACCTTAAAGATCATCTAGTTCCAACCCCCCTGCATGGGCAAGGACACCTCCCACTAAATCAGGTTGCTCAGAGCCCCATCCAACCTGCCCTTGAACACTTCCAGGGATGGGGCTTCCACAACTTCCCTGGGCAACCTGTTCCAGTGTCTCATCACTCTCACACTGAATGTCCTAATGTCTAACCTAACTCTCCCCTCTTCCAGTTTTAATCCATTACACCTTGTCCACTCACTATAAGCCCTTGTAAAAAGCCCCAGCTTTCCTGTAGGCCCTTCAGGCACTGGAAAGCTGCTATGAGGTCTCCCCAGAACTTCCTCTTCTCCAGGCTGAAGAGCCCCAACTCTCCCAGCCTGTCCCCATAAGAGAGGTGCTCCAACCCCTGGATCATCTTCGTGGCCCACCTCTGGACTTTTTCCAGGAGTTCCATGTCCTTCTTATGCTGGGGGCTCCAGAATTGGACACAGTATTCCAGATGGGGTCTCTTGAGAGCAGAGTAAAGGGGGAGAATCACCTCCCTGGCACTGCTGGCCATGCTTCTTTTAATGCAGCCCAGGACATGGTTGGCTTTCTGGGCTGCAAGCACACATTGCCACTCATATTGAGCTTCTCATCCACCATCACCCCAAGGCCTCCTCTGGGCTGCTTTTGATCCATTCTCCACCCAGCCTGTCTTCGTGCTTGAGATTGCCCTGACCCAGGTGCACAACCTTGCACTTGGCCTTGTTGAACTTCATGCAGTTTGCACGAGCTCACTTCTCAAGCCTGTCAAGGTCCTTCTGGATGGTGTCCCTTCCCTCCAGCACATCGACCTCACCCCACACTTTGGTGTTGTCAGCAAACTTGCTGAGGCTGCACTCAATGCACATGTCGCCACTGTCCATGTCACCAACAAAGATGTTAAACAGCACCGGTCCAAGTATCAACCCTGGGGGAGCACCACTCATCACTAGTTTCCATCTGGACATTGAGGCATTGATCACCACTCTTTGAGTGAGACCATCCATCAAATCCATATTGTTACAGTTTTGATACCAGGATGTTGTGTGGGACAGTGTCGAAGGCTCTGAACAGGTCCAGATAGATTACCTTGGTTGCTCTTCCTTTGTCACCAAATCAGTCAGGCAGGATTTGCCCTTGGTGAAGCCGTGTTGGCTGTCACCAATCACCCCTTTGTTTTCCATGTGCCTTAACAGAGCCTCCAGGAGGATCTGCTCCATGATCTCGCCAGGCACGGAGGTGAAACTGGCTGGTCTATAGTTCCCTGGGTCTTCCTTCTTTCCCTTCTTCAAAATGTTTCCCCTTCTCAAAGACTTTTCAAAGATGATTGACAGAGGCTTTGCAACTGCCCTGGGGTCTGTCTGCAGAAGGCAACATTTTTAAACTGAACCTCTATTAACTCAATTAGAGGACCTCTTTGTTTTGATTAATGACTGCCTCATGTGACCTGAATCACAGTCCTTTTGATTTTTGAATAACCGAACTGTGTAGAGGAACTTTTTTCCACAGACAGCACTGGAAGCCAAATTCTACACCATAAGAGAGCAGTGTACATCTATAAAACTACAGAAATCAACAGTCTCAGCTTGTGGATTAAAAAAAATAATAATGCAGTGACAGGTCCATAGTCAATACTTGGGGAATTATTTTTCCAGTGATACTCTATTCAATATACTAATCATAAAGATGCTATGCATTTTCTTCAAGATTAACTGGCGAGAGGTGACTAAATAGCACCCAGCCTCAGCTTTTTCCACCGAAACACTGGGCCATGCCAATCTAGGAAGTAACACATCAGGGATGTTATATCACAAAGTTATATTATATTTACTCCAGCCTCTAGCAGAGAAACATGTCAACAGCCAAAACTACCTTTGTTTTGTTTTTGTTTTTCCTGTCCCTACTATACTGCCAGTACAAACTTTACCAACACATACTGAAAAAAAGCATTTTAAATATGACAGCAGTGAAGTTTTAGTCTTTTAGCACCAAAATAGAACTGGCACTGTACCCAAACATATAGATCTTGTCAGAGGAAAGATTATGCAGCTGAAATAAACCATTCAATCTCAAAGCTTTATAGCTGACTGTAGACAGCCATCAGAAGCTTTGATTATTCTTTAACTATTTTATCCCCAAAATGTTATATTTACACACCGAATAAACTTGTACCTCATTCCCTTCACTGATATCATCTTTGCAGATAATCTGGAAGTTATGTCAGGCCATATAATGTACTTCAGCCACACTGCTCTCCCCCTACCAATTTGTGATTTTCCATGCAATAGACTTAATGTTGTTATTCTTACACACAGTACAGACTAAAGGGTAATTTGTCCAGTATCACACAAAGATTTGAGATGGAAGAAACCTCAGGACACTTGGTTTCCAAGGCCTATCCACAAATTATACAAGCACGATTTTTTCCACTATGGAAATGAAGTATTTGGGAGCTGGACAATTAAAACAGTAACACTACATATTAATCCAGTCTTTTTCACATTTTGCTGTATGGCTACCTTGCAAGAATACAGCAGATGGAACTGGAATATTGTCTTCTTCATATGTACACAAAACTACAAGAACAATGCAGGCAAATCAGACATACTCAGGACCTGGAAAGACCCTTCTTAAAAGATTAATCCCTAAAAAACAGCTCATTCAATGCTCTCAACACTTGCAAAAAACAACAGCTCAGGTTTTAAATGCTTAGTCATAAACACTTGCAGAAAACAGCACTCAGCCAGCTGGGTAGCACAGTAATACTTAAATAACCAAATCTTGTTTCTTAAGAGGAAAAAACTGTGGGTTGGGTGGAAGCCTCCTGCAGGTTACACTCAGCTCATAGTCTGATTAGCTGCACCATACTTCCAAAAACAAATAGGAAAACTGCTAAATACAGAATCAAAAAACCTCTTACCTGCTTCAGTGCAGGAAGAGACACAATTTTAAAAAGTGATTTGACAAGACTTTTTGATTTTTAATAGGGATTAAATGAAATCTATATTAATAGCATCACTCATCAAGATTTAAAACCAGGAGAAGCTGACCTCTTCTAAACAAGCCTCCTGCTTTCTCTATAAAGACAATCTGTCTGTTCCGTTGCAGAGAGAAAGAAATAAATCAGCACAATATGCTGAAAGTCCCCAGGGATTAGAAGCACTGTCCCAGGGAAAAGAAAAGTACTGCCTGATCTGCAAAGTAGCATCTGGAAGGAGGTCAACATTGAAGGAGAACTCTTCCCAGTAAGATGCAACAAAGGAGAAACACAAATTCGTTAGATCTTACTCCTTTGGTCAGTTGTCTACAGACTAAACACACTTAACATAGAGAATGTTTGTACTTCAAAGTTATTTTAAAAGCTTGTACACACAAAAGGCCTCCAGAAGTGAAGTCCCTAAAATGCTACATAACACATCAAACAAGATGGATAACACATGAAAGGTCACAACCATTAGAAACAAGCAAACTAATCACACTAACATCAAACTGTTTTTTAAATTGAAACTAAACACATGAGCTTGTTTTTCACAAGTGAAAAGGGGAGAAAACCAGGATGACATACCCTGCTACTTTATGATATTTAATTTACTGCATTTCCTGAAAACAAAAGCAACTCCTCGCTAATAAACACTTGAAAAGGAAATGTTACATCCCTCCTCCACACCACACAAATTAACATACAAAACCAGCATGCTGCTTAATGCCAAACCTACACCACTTCTTCAACTAAGTGGTTGAACTCTGACCTACAAACTTGACTTGGAAAAGGAATAGCAGGGAATGCAAAAAAAATACACAAGGCTTTAAGCGAATTACAGTCTTGTTAAAAAACATAGTGCTCCCCACATAGCAAGTTATACTTTTGGCATCCTCACCAGAATGAATTCTGATATTCTCAGACTTGCCACATCTGGCATTCTAGTCCCAGAACTACACAGGATGCAGACTGACTATATGAAATACATGATTCTTTAGTTTTTTGGTTTGATTTTTCCTTTCCTTGCTAGTCTTACAAATATTAAACACTCATCCTTGTTAAAGATTGAAAAATAGCAAATTTAAAAGTGCTTTGATGGTTGTAAAACAGAGGGGTGATCTTGACAACTTGAACTGTACTTTAAATTTCTATAGACTACAGCAAATTGATACACAAAACCATCTGATTAAGTAAAATCAGCAATATTTAAGACAAAATGTACTTGCTTTTCTCTGTTCATCATCTTTGCAGTTCTGGAGCTTTTCGTCAAAGAGCTAAAAGAAAGAGATACTTGTGAATATACCTAAAGTGTTATATTTTCATACAGTATCAGCAAGAAACACCAAAATATCAAAAGCATTAAATGGTATGTAAGTTATATTATATTGGTATTACAACCCAAATAAGTTTTTGCCTAATATTTATTTACAGCATTTGTAATATAATAAATTTATAACTAATTTCTGACATTATCCCATCCTGTAAGAGACCTGATCTCAGGTCCCAGGTATTTCCACAGATCAGCCTGGCATGGTTCAATCATGGTTTGAACAAAAAGGTGAGGTTAAGTGATAGAAGTTTCACTCATCTGAACACCTCAAACTGCCTTTTATTTTATTTCAGCAAAGGCCTTTGGGGCATACAGAGTGTTTACCAGAACAGCCTCAACCCTCACCAGCCCTTCCAGGCACCTTGTTATTTAGGCACATGATTTGAATCATGTAAGAACTGTAAGAACTTCTTTTGCAAAGAATTTGGTGATTTCCCAGCATTCACTTCTATTTATTTTCTTCAATGTGGATCACGAGAAGCAGCTTTGCAAAGTGAAATGAATACTTACTGAAAAACCTGCATGTGCATTTAACACAAGCTGTGCTGAATCACTTAAAAGTCATCTCCAAGAACCCTTTAAGGTGCACACGCAATGACCATTAAGTACAAGTTGTTTAATGAAGAAAAAACATTAAGTTAATGCTCAAAATTTCATCACATCCACCCTTGCTCAGGAAAGAGGCTGTAATTTTTAGTTTGTGAACTACAGCTCTTCTCTCAGCTGTCTGCCTAAAACCTACTCATGTTCTTTTTCCCTTGAGGGTTGATTTCTGGTTCTAAAAAAAAACCTGCTGTCTAAGTCTCTGTCCATCCTCCAATTCACTCTTCTTTCATTATTAATTAATTCTATACTCCCTTCCCCCAGCTCACCTGAAATAGCAATTAGAAGGTGTAAAGATTTAAATACCTTCCTTCAGTGAAGCATGCTGAAATGGCTCCAGAGCAGGAGACAAAGCTAACTCCTGGATCAAGTCTGTGGAGTTTAGCTTTAAAATCTGTTTGCATCTCTTTTGCACATTTTCATTTTTCTGTTGTTATGCTCCTCCCCTCTCTGCCCTTCCCTCCCACTGATTTTTTTTGCTGAATATTCTACATGCAATATGGGAAAAGAAAAAATCCAAACCAGCAGAACTAAAGCAATCTGAACAGCAATTTTAATTTGCTGAGTCATGAGAAAGTGTCCTAACCAGCAGCAAAACCTGTTTTTCTCAAGAAAGTGAGTACTGAGAGTACTCATGATTCCTCACCTTCCCACCTACTCCTAAAATACATATGCAAAGTGTAAAAGAATGGCATTTGTACAAAATTTCTACAGTGTTTTCACTGAAGGACAAAGAACAGATTATTGCCACTGCAACAAATTCTGAAACTATCTGCAACTGCAGTTACATTATTAACATAATTTTCTCAATAGAAATTTTAAAATGCTAGGAACAATACACTAATTTAATTATGTTTCAAAATTAAACTTCAGCCATCTCAGCCATTTCCATGAAGCTATATACACAAAAGAATGATTCAGTCATTATAAACCATTCTATAAAATCTGTTATCCTAGTTTTCTGAGTCCATTTTATCAATCCTAAGATACATTCTAAGATAAAGCCATTTTTAGGTTATTTCGGCCCTTAGCTTATAACTTTTAATTTTTATACTTCTAGTAAATATCTCTTTACTTCAGAAGCAGTTACAACATATGTAACATCCTAAATGAAAGAGAAAATGAAACTCGATTATCATCATCATACCTTATATATAAAAAAGTCCTGTTTTCTCCAGTTCAGTCAGCTCAGCTAGATGAGTTCCCTCTGCCTCCCACAGTAACTAGAACATGGGTCAAGCCTAAAACAAGATTCTGCCCACTGTTGAGCCTCCTCTCAACCAGACATTGAAATCCACACACTGACAAGCAGATTCCCAGTACAGTAAATACATCCATAGGTTAGCATACCTTCAACTGGTCTATCAAGATCTGTAAGTAAGCATCAGCCTCGGTAAGTTTCTTGTCAAAATCGTGAACGCTGGGAACAAATCCCGAATCCACACCCTAGTTATAAAGAAATAAATAAAAATCAAATGTATAATTAAGAATTTTGCATAAATAAAAGAGATAAAAATACAGTTTTGCCTACCAACTGACTGATAAAATGTTGCCTTGCCTCTCATCCTGCCACATGCAAACAGGCACACAGCTGAACACATCTGTCTTCCATTTGCAGCTAAATGAGGAACAGTAACTGCTACACATTTTCAGTGGGGGTATAACCATCACACAACAGAGTATTTCATTACTTATGATTGAACAAATCCTCTGAAGTTACACTAATTCAAGTCTTTCTGAAGACTGCCCATATCCTTAAATTACAGCTAAGGAAGACAAAACCACACCCAACTGGATGACTGTGCTCTTCACACTTCAGACAACATTGTTCAACTCACAGCTTCTTAACTGTGAACGGAACTAATGAATGCTAAATCCCTCCTTAAAAGTGGACCCACCTTTGATCTGAAAATTCCAAATTATTCCTGTTTGCCCTAGTTCCTTTACAGTTAAAACGATTTGCATCCTTGTCCCTATATTGGATTTCTTATACTTTGTTGCACAAAGGCCCACAGGGACAAAGCAGCACCCATGAGAAGGCTTACTTTCTTATTTTCTTGCTTATAGAATCATAGAATCCTAGGGGTTGGAAGGGACCTCGAAAGATCATCTAGTCCAACCCCCCCTGCCAGAGCAGGGTCATCTAGAGAACATCACACAGGAACGCATCCAGGTGGGTTTTGAATGTCTCCAATTAAGGAGACTCCATAACCTCTCTGGGCAGCCTGTTCCAGGGCTCTGTCACTCTCACAGTAAAAAAATTTTTTCAGATATTTACCTTGAACCTCCTATGCTCCAATTTGCACCCATTACCCCTTGTCCTATCACTGGTCATCACTGAGAAAAGCCTAACTTCATCTCCCTGACACTCACCCCTTACATATTTGTAAGCATTGATTAGGTCACCCCTTAGTCTCCTTTTCTCCAAGCTAAAGAGACCCAGCTCCCTTAGCAAATCCATTTCCCTTAATAATGCAAGATTCAAAGCACACTTTTGTATATAACATAATCCCTACCCTTAAACTGATAAACCAGGTCTTTAAAGACCTCAACAAACTCCCACTGGGATACCACATCTTTAATTACAGAAAAGAAGAGAGAGGATTCTCAAAATTGGTTACTTCAGACTTCATGCACATATGCTACATAAACACATTTAAGGTTTATTTATATAATACCTTTAAATTGTTTCTACTACTTACACCCATTTTCATACTGATTTAAAATATGACATCTTCACTTCAAACTCTCAGGAAACCTTCAACTGTGCTGTTTTGACTGCTGAGAATCTCGTGAGCCTGAATGTGTAAAGGTCAGGCAATAGAGAAAACAAACATCTCCTATGGGGAAGTTGGGCAATCCATATTCGTAAATCTCCATCTTAGCATAACATTTTCTTTGCTATTGTTTGCTCATTTTTATTTTCCTGTGATAATGGCCAATAACATTAACAGCCTTATTGATGGCTCTTTAGAGGCATGAACGCTTGCATGCAACAGAGGAATTACTTGCTTTTATGTCTGCCAAGCTGTGTGCACAGCATCATGCCCACCCTAAAACATACAGACATCTACTGCCTGCAGATTATTTATCTGCCAAGTCTTAAACTGTGCTACAGATTGAAACCCAGATCTTGACAGCAGTTCTACATGAGTACATCTATTCACACAGCTTGGTTCGTAAACCAGCACACACAGAGAAAAAGATAATTCACCCCACATTACACAGTCCACATTGGACAAATTTATAAATAGTGTTTTGAAACAAAGAGGAAGAGAGAAGAGAAGAAAAGAAAGCAACCATTTTGACTATGCCAAGGAATTAAAAAAACAAACAAACAAAAAAACCACAACAAAAACAAAACAACAAAGAAACAAAACCCTACATAACATGTTATCAAAAAGAAACTAATAGGCAGAAGAGAGGGTGCTCTCAACCAATAAACTTTTGACACTCCCACAAACTTGTCAAGTTTAAATTACACAGAAACTAGATCTGAAACTATCTGCAATCAGTATTCTACTTCCTTGTTGAAAACAGAATTGTCTGTCCAGCTAGCAGCCAACACCATCATTTCAACAAATGGTCTAGAATGCTCAGTTAAAAAATTCTGGAGGTCAAGCTTCATACACCAAAACTGCATGAAGTCCACAGAAAATTTCTGCTGAAGATACTATACACAGAAATATAAACTGTGGTGCAAATTATCCATACACTGCAGCAAAAAAGGAAAACCTGATTAATACATTTAGAATTACAACTGGGTAGACACCCACATCAACCACAGAGTGAAAACTGTGACCTAAAAAGTTATATTAGAAAGTTAAAATAAAAAGAAAAAAGCCATAAAACCAAGTACAGTGTCAAGCTGACAGCACAGAGAGAAAACATGAAAATTACTCTGAAAAGAAACACAGGTAATTAAACCTGTAATGCTTCACAAGTTTGCTCTTGGTTTGTATAAAGACAGTCGAGGTTACATTTTATAACCTACTGAGCAAATTTATTAGCCTGTGGTACATGAGATTAGGTTAATAATTCTAAGTTCACACATAGTTTTAAAACTGAAAACCGAAAGATAAATAGGAAGTTAAAAATAACAAGATTAGCAATAGCACAGAAAAAAACCACATTGTATAAATAGCAAACAAAATCAATTAGTATTTCAAACCCAGCAGTAACTTAGAAAAAATAGGTATACAAAGTGCAGATTGGTATAACAAATCCTTTTTTCTTCATTATCAGGTCACCCAAAGACACAGACCCTTTCTCTTTCTTACCTTTACTCTCTCTTCCCTCCCTTGCCATGCAGGAAATGAGGCTTCAACAGAAACGGGTGAGCAGAGTCAACAGAATGGCATTTAACAGCTTGTTAAACATGTAAATTGGGAAACTGCACATCTGAACTACCAATCAGATTTTTATGAGAAACTCATATTATATGCTGCTCACCTATTCATAAACTGACAAAACAGATTGCCTGCAGATATTGTTCAACCTCCACCCTTGGAGGGCAGAGTTCAAAACTAAACTGGGTTTGACCCCAGGCAACTCGATCTAACACAGAGGTTGGTCTCACAATGTGAAGGGCCTTGGACCAAGTGACTTCCATATGTCTTCTCCAGCTGAAGTTATGCTGTGATTCTAAAATAAGTATCTTCAAACTATGAAAAAGAATAGAACTCAAGACTATTATCTTCAGAAATGTGCTGATTCTTTCTTGCTGTCAGTACCAATCCAAAGTAATAATCCAAATCAAATCAACCTGTTTTTTCATTGAATAACTAGATCTATTGGTAAATACACTGTTCATGTATGTTTTTAAAAATTAACAGTTTACCAGATGAAAAAGCTGCAGAAGACAGTAAATTATATAACTTCTAGTCTGCCCATAACCTTCCAAAACAACACATTTTGTATCTGACTCCTCCCCACAAAGAAATCAGTATTAATAGCAACTCTAGAGAGAAAACAGCAAACATAGCATTCTTTCCTTCATCCCTCCCTCCCCTCCTACAACTTCTGGGATGTCCCCTTCAAGACATCAGTATCAGAAGCTCGGAGACTAGATTCTATAGAGCATAGCTATTTACCTACATAATTTATTACGGATGTAGATAATGCACATGTGCCAATGTGCTTATTCGCTGCCATAGTTACTTTGTTAGCAAAATCTGGAAAAGGGCAGCATGCCTCTTAACTCTATGCCCTTCCACCAGCTCTTGAATCACATCTATATTGGATATTTTCTTAATCTAAAAGAAATGGTTCTTAGTTTTATGCAAGCATTCTTGACTCGCACTAGAAGCGGCATTGGAAAGCCAGGAACAATATAATATAGTTAAGAGGAAAATATGAAAGTTTTACTCTATTCTTGTTTGCAGCTTTAGAAAGGTAATAGAAGATCCTGGTTAATGCAATACTAAGTGAACTGATGCTAGCAACACAGCTTCACACTCTGCACCAGCCTAAGTGAAAATGAAACAAATCAGTCCTGTTGTTTATTCTGACCCTTACTCAGCTCTTTAGACTGAGCATAAACATTTACCTTGTCACATTATCAACTCAACACTGAAACTAATCAGGGTTAAAACTAAACTAGGAAAGGGAGGGCAGCTAATTTGGGCCCTCTTCCCCTTTGCTAAGAGAAGTGAGACAGGACTGCTTCCAGCTGCACTATCCACTCTTACTGGTGAGGCCATGGTGTAACTCCCAATATTTAAGCCACTGTGTCACTCTCCACAGCAACCGCCCCAGATCCACTTCTTAAAATGTAGTTTTCTTCCCCTACTGTTTGCTATTTACTAAGAAAACACCTTGTTTAAATTATGGAGGTATCAAGCTACAGAGCATTTTATGATCTTAAAATTCCTTTCACTTTTATAGAGGTTAAGAAACAGCCCATCTTTTTGCTGACAGTAATTTCAGTTCCTTTGTCTCAGTGAGTCGCACCATCTAGTGTTCAAGGACTTTTCAATAAACAAAGCTAATACTAGAACTATGCATATTTTTAGAGATGTGTTTAATATAAGAACACATAAAAACACAGCAAGCACAACAGACTTCAGTTTCAAAATTCAGAAAAATTAGATTACAAGCGTATCTGAAATGATTCCTCCCTATTTTTGTTCCATTTGGATCCAACATTACTAATGGTCAGCCAGGATCCCTTTACTCATTCTCCATGTTTATGACTCAGTTCTCTCTCAGTTCCTTCATTGTAGCACATTCTTGCAAGTTTAGGTTTCTTGGGGGTGAAGGGGAAGTGTGTTTAATTATTTGTGGTTTCAAAAACACTTCCATTATAAAGACTGAGGGACAACACAGCAGGACGTTTAGGCAGAAATAAAATTAGCAAGACTAATCAGACTAGAGGACACCACTTCACCTCTCCACCTCACATTAAGGCCTCATCCTTCCTGATGTGGTTCACACAACACACAGACTACCCAGCCTTCGGTGCACTTTCTCATGTGTAACAGATACATATTTGACACTGTGAAGGAAACTTGCTTAAAGTCTGATTTTCTAAACTTGAACATTCCAGCACCAGGACAGACTGAAAGCAGCACGAAAAACTGAAGAAGAAAAGAAAAAAAAAAAAAAAGACCCAGAAAAAGCTGTACGATTTGGGACAAAAGCAGACGCATGAAGGTTTTACAAGACAGATAAAACCACGTTTCTACTTGCGACAGAAGCTAAGAACCTAAGAAAAAAGCCTTGCAGAACATAATCTCTGCCACAGCACTCGAGCTCCCAGGCATGCCGGCTGAGCCAATAATCCTCCCAAATTACTCATTTGACTTCATTGTCCAAATGAAAAGGAAAGCAAGAGAACATCAAGCGGCGTCCTGTTTGAAATGCTAATCGCAGCCGAGGCGTGTTTGCACACAACGGGCTCCTGTCACCGGAGGCAAAGCATCCCCCTGGGCAGGCAGGGCAGGAACCGGGGACATGCCCGGGGACCC